TATATGGGAAATTCGTATGTCGATCCGCATATGAGAAGCTCGCGGATTGATTCGCAGGTAGATCGAAGCATGCGGATTTTAAGGTTGCCCGCAAAGCCATCGCCCATATTTCATTATCCGCAATTTTTGAGGTCATTGAATGTTTGTGCGTTTTATAAAATCATATATGAATGGCTGCGTACTACTGTTATCGTGGTAGATCTTTCAAGAAACGCCATTGGCAGAAATAATGAAAATGAACCAAGTTATGCGAACATCCTACCGGCGATGGAAACATCCATAGAAATGACTGAAGATTGTTGTCATTACTTCGTCCGTGAACTTTTCAAACTTATCATGACGCACGTTACTCATCTCACCCATATAACCATCAATTCTTTTCCCGAGGGTTTTTTCACTCACATGATGCTCTTTTATTCTTGCATTTTAAAGTCACCTTTTAATTTTATCAGTACACTCTCCCACGTCACAACTCTAGATCTTGGTATATCCGATGCTTCGTCTTATATTCTCTTTGAAATTTCCACACATTGTACCAAAATAACATCTTTATCACTCCGGTCTCGTCATTTTCTGGGTTCTTCATATGACTTATCGCAATTAATCAAACGTCAACGATCTCTTCGTCACCTTCATTTGGAACAAATTACTGTGACTTCCAAGTTAATTGACTCTTTACGATTTCACACGACCACCCTCGAGAGTCTGACATTGATGGATGTGATAATAGTCAATAGCAGAGCTTTGTGGAATTTGTCCTCATGTTCACGTCTAAAAACCCTAATAATTAATTTTTTGGGTTTTTATCCATGCACATATGATGGTCTGAAACCTTTGTGGAGTTTTCACTTCCCAGAAATATGCAAATTCAAATTAATCGGAAGACTATATGAGCACGGGGAAGAATCATTGGCGGACAACATGTGTTCCTTTCTACAAATCAATGGAAAGTCACTGAACACACTGAGCTTGGATATAAATCCGAGTGTCTATTGTAAGGTACTCCAAAAAGTGGGTGAAAAGTGTATCCAACTAAAAAAGTTAACGATACGTGATTATCAACAACATGACAGTTCACTGGAAAAGATGTTGAAAGACACGAGCATGGAATTAAAATGGTTGAAAGTGGAACAGCAATGTTATGATTATTACAAGTTGATAGACAATCGACTGTTGGATGCACATGAATTTCCTCCACTCAAGGAATTGAGGGGGACGAAGTGGCTAAGACAATTGGATTTCCACATGTGTTTAGATCCAGATTCTGTGGAACGACTCTTTGATGATTGGGAGGCGCCATTAGAACGTATCGGTTACTTGTATAAATATGATCATGAGGAGGATAGACATCATGAGGTGTTGAGAAAATTTGCGCATAAGTTGGATGAAGGATTACAAAGGCGCCAAGAGAGACGACAACTGCATAAAATTGATTTGGTCGATTCGTTGTGTGTGTGGAATGAAATAATGGTCAGGAAAATAGAAATGTATATTGAATGTAAGTCTTATCTTTATTCTAACCTATGCTTTTTATTCTTGTCTAATTTAATATTGAGTCCTGATTCACCCCCACTTCTTGCAGATGTTGATGACTAGAATATTCATTTTCTTACTGACTGAAAAATTTATGTATATTTGTGTTTATATCTTTAAATATTATATTAGATTTTAAGAATTTTAAAAATTAGATCAACATACAGTATATTAGTCCAAAGATCTGAGATCGGGATTCTTAAACTGTTTTAAGTTCATTTCCGCTACAATATTCAGATCATGCGGAATTGTTAAACTTTGACATTGTTGATTCTAAGGAATCTATGTAAAATAGGCGAACATTGATTTATTATAGGTGTAGAATTATCAAGAGTGTATGTAATTGGTGACCTTATAAATAATATATAAAACCGTAATCGTTACTTCTTTAACCATTACCCTCGTAAATCACGTTAATTACAAGACCATTTGTTTCTCGTGCAAAAAGAAAACAGTGAACTTTGCGTTTATTATACCAATAGTAAGCAATAGTAAGCAATAGTAAGCAATAATAATCAATTGTATGCTAGATAAACATTTTTTAATTTAACGAAATATATATACCGTATATTGTTTTAACATGAGTTTAACAATCAATCATGGATTGTGTAAATACGTACTGTATAAAATCCCATCATTTTTTTTAACCGAAAAAAACCCCCAAGTATTTAAAAAGTTTGTAAATACTGTATATAGTATATCGTATATACAGTACCTTCAAACAATAAATATTACAAATTCGTTCGTACAAATAATTACAACATACAGTACAAACCAACCTTATACTGCATATGATCATTTTATACAATTTTTTATTAATTCTATTGTCATTCTTAAGCTTATATACTGCAACATACCCCTGCCTAGTTATAATATTATATAGAATATTAGAATATCGCTGCCTAGTTCGAATATCATAGTTATATGCATGTGTAATAAAGAATTCATTTTGATGGTTTAATTTGATCATGGAAAAAATATTTAAAAAAATAATTATATTTGATTTTGAGATTTGATTTTATTGTACTGTATATTCGGTAACAATATAATGATTTTATAATATTTTAAAATTATTTTTTTTTTTTTGATTTTTTGAAAATATTATTATGGTATTACATAAAAATCTTGTAATTGCCATCATTACTGTTTAGTCATAAATTACCATGTTTTTTTTAAAAAAATAAAATCATGAAATTTTGATGTTTTTAAAAAATTGAAAAACAATAACTTATTTTCTAATACTACATTATTAAATTTTTTTTTTTAAAAAAAAACGTTGCCGAAATTTATTTTTATTTTTATTGATTTTGTCTAAAATTGTTTTTGATGCGTTTTATTTTGTTATTTATTGCGATGCGATTTTTATGTCAACTTATTTTTCTGTAAATGTAAAAAAAAAAAAATATTGTGTATTTTTTCTTAAAGAAAAGTGATATAAAATACTTTGCGTATGTATATACATATCTATTGCTTTTCTAAATAAGGTTAACCCGTAATTGACTTACAATTCAGTCATTTTTTTATACGTCTATTTTCTAACTAAAAGAATATAATAATACTGTAGTGAGCCAGTACACGATACTGGATTTATCGTTTCTCTAAAAAACTACCGCAAATACACTTAGATTTCTTAGAAATAAATTAACCAAGTATCATTTCACTATAAGGTAAGTGGCAACGAAGTTGAGGAAACACCGAATTTCGGTGAAACCTTAAACATTTCTAATTCCCCCATCCCCCGATCCATTCCCCGGCTTAATGCCAAATCATATCCCGACGATCGCACCCTACTTAGAACCGGTTTGGTGGTTTCCTTTCCTTCGCTGAATGAGAACATAAAACTGTCATGTGCCCGAGCACTCGCCGTCACATTCCATATGCCCGAAATGTACATCCCGAAAATCTCCTGAGTAGTCTTAATCTTTAGCAGCAAAAAGGTTTTCTCTTGACCTCCGCATCGTTGGTGGAGGGTATTCGTTGAATATCCGTCTTCGGAGCCTCGCATCAGCAGTGTAAAGTCATAAGGAATTTCTGTGTAGGTGTAGAACTTGTCATCTTTCTGATCGATCCATGATGCGATCTAGAATAGATCAAATAGTTTATTATGTGAATTTGATTATAAAATATCTAAGCCTTGGTTGGAGTAATGACTTACCATGGCAGCTTGTTTCAGTGTAATAAGTTTTGAATCGATGGTTTTTAGCCTGGGAGTAAACGGATTCACTTGTGCCTCTGGCATCAGAAAATGCCATAATACACTGTCGTACAAATCTGCGGGTAATATATCCTTGAATGGCCAGACCTTTTCTCTGAATTGTGCTGGTGTCATTAGTGTAAACCGTATCAGTGGAATACAATCGGCCAGTGATTGTTGAAATGTAGCCGTAAATTCCGGCGTCCATTTCGCCGGGTCCTCAAATAATGTCGGATTCTGAACAAATCCCCATTTTATCACATTGTTCCATAATTCCACCTCGTCAATGCCAAGATCATCACGTTTTAGTAAAGAAGTAAGCATGTTGACGTCCATGCAATAAAAGTAATCGGACTCAAAGACCGAAGAAGGGTCAGCACATATTGCTCCCAAGCAATAGTCTTGAAGTGGTTTATAAGCAATCCGACCGAATGCAAAATCGAGGATTCGGTAAAAGTTTTCTTGGATCCATGAAGC